GAGGCGGTTGGCGCGCGGACGGGTGCACACTAGACCAGGTCTCAGGCGCGAGGCCTTTGCGGACGGGAGTGGGGGCAGGGAATAAGGGGGGGGCAGTTAGAACGCGAGCGCGAGTCGGTGGAGGGGCGGGGGAAGGCGGCAGTGCGCGTGCGCGGTAGAAGAGACGAGGGTAGTGGAGACGGGCGCTCCTTAAAAGCACGCGCGAGAGCCCAGATGGGAAGGTTTACGCACCTGTGTTGCATTCTTTATAGGTCCTTCCATTTTCTGACCTTCCCCTGTTAGAGTGTGACCCGGCCCTTATATTTATACAAGGGTAAATGTGTTAGATTTGGAGGTTGAAGTTACTGGAGTTAGATGGGGATGGGGAACCCGGTGTGGGGCGCCCACGTGTTGGAGGAGAGAAACAGGGTGGAGACCTACATTTCTTCTAGGCTGTTTTATTCAGTCAACACATTTTTACTGAGTGTGAGCTATATACGTGCCAGGCACGATTCTAGGTATTGGAGATATAATGGTGAGCAAGATCTGATCCCTTGACAACTTCCATTTTGATTTTGGTCGAGTTTTGATAGCCCCAGTGGTGGAGTTGGGCTTTTTTTTTTTTTTTGGAAGATATTTGCACAACTGCTTGGGGGTGCTTTTAGAATATTAGTGGTTGGAGTTGATTTCTTTTTTAGACTTTGGGAGAGGGAATATCACTGACATGCAAGTCTACTTGCATTTCTGATGGACTTAGCTGTGCCAACATTTTGTAGCAGTAATTTTAGTTTGGCAGATATGGTCTCTTTTCCCTGGCATGACCCTGCATTCTACAAAACATTTATTGAACAACTGTTATCTCCGGACACTCATTTCTCACCAAGGATTTCTCTCCTCTGTTGCATAGAGATGTATGTCTTTGAAGAAACTGAGGTGCATTTGAACATAATACCTTTTATTAGTGTAGTGCTTGACGTGGACCTAGCACTTTTTTGTATGTTGTATAATTTGATGTTTTGTGAGATAACATAGGCAGATATTGGTGTCTCCCATCTGAGGAAGATGAAATGATTCGTTCATGGTCACGCTGCGTGCTGATAGCAGAGTAAGGTCGAAATCTTTGAAACTTCTCGCTCTTCTCCATTATCAACTTGGAACTAACAAGGTTGGCTTCCATGTCATCCTAAGTTTGGGATGCTGCCCAAGAGCTTCATCTGAACTACTTATTTGGCCTGAATTTGCCATCCTGATGGCTTAGTGTCATAATCTAAATCTAATGTCATAGAGAAAAGCCTGTATTCCCTTTCTCAAAACTTGTGTGGAATTTTTAGAGGTGGAAGACACCATTAACAATCTGTCCTTCATTTTACAGAGTTGAGTGAAATCCAGACTGATTAAACTGGATGTGCTTAGTGAGGTCTCCTCCTGTTCTTCCACTTTACCTGCCTGGCAGCCCTCATCTCATTTCATTCGGTTCCATGAATCTTTAGCTTGTGTAGTATGTGTAAGTTACACTTATGCTAGTATCCGGGCGCAAGGTTGCATCTGACAGTCTGCCCTTGAGAAACTATCAAATTTCTTTCCCCACTTTGAATCCTTTCCCATTGCATTGACTTGGTTGAGTGACCAGTATTCCCACATGACTGTATTAATGAGTCCGTAAAATTAGTGTATTTTCAGTATACTTCTTGAGGGTGCCTGGTGTCTTGTTGAAAAAACAGATCTTACATTTTCTTGGTGAAAATACATGATAAAACTTCATAGACCTCTTTTACTGTTAAGTGAGACCCAAAAATTATTTGCAGTAATACCAGTATCCAGTGTGACCCATTATTGAACTTCAAGAACAGGAGGTGTCCCAGAGCTGACTATTGAATCTACTCTCCTTACCTATGGGGGATCAAATGTATTTGATACGGGTTAACAGTTTTTGAGACTAGACTGCTTTGAGATTGTAAATAGTGTATCTATGCCCACACAAGGCCTTTCATTTGCATAACACTTTCCAGAATTATATGTGGCATCTTGATTATTTTTTATGGGGTGAGGATAGTGTCCAATGGTTGTTTTCATACAATTCTGACCCTTATGGTGAAAAATAGTTTCAGTGGTTGCTATTATATGCTGTTCACATATTACCTATTTTCATATCCCTTCCTGTATCATGTTTGTTATTCTGGGAGTAAGATACCCAGATTCAGAAGGCCAAGGTTAAAACTCCTTATGAAAATTCAAGTACAAATACAGAGAGAAGTACCAAGGTAAAACATCGTATTTCTAAGTAATGTCACTTTTAAAAAAATGTATATACTTTTATACAGCTTTGAGGTATGTCACATACCATGTATAGCTTGAGATAGGATACCGTACTACATTGTATTTGTCTCAAAACATCCTAGAATTTGTTTTCCTGATCATGGGGGAAAGAATTAAGGATTTGGGGTTTGTTTGTTTGTTTTTTAACTGCTTGTTTGTAATTAAGTATGTGTATGTACATTTATAAGTGCACACACCAAAGTCAGTTTCTTAGATTTGTAATGGATATTGCTGTGGTCCTAATGGTAGGAAAATGCCCAAAACAAGAAGTTATTCTTGAATTTTTATAGCTCCTCTCATAGAAAAGCTGCAAGTACTTTGTGCAGTGATCTATCTGCGTGATGTTGTATTGGACACTTATTTTATATATTTTATGTAAGTGATCAAATTGAGTAGTGTGGAGAGGTAAGGAAAAGGCAGTGTGGCATTTTCCTCAGATTGTGTCAAGATGAAGAAGTTGGACAGAGAAGAGAGGTCCCATAACAACTGAACATAGCAATCAAGGTGGTGGAGCTTATTGGTCCTGACTTAGACTTTATTCTCTACTCTGCTAAACAGTAGCATAGTAAAGGTTGAAGCCTCTCAACATCATGATACTGTACTGCATTGTATGAAACATCTTTTTGTGCTGGGCTCTAATCAGCAGATTAGTTCAGTTCTAGGCACTCTGGTATTTGAGTAGATTGCATTTATACAGTATTGTTTCTTTAAGGAAATATTTGTTGATCGTTAATTAGCTTTTAATTCTGGAGACTGGCAGGATTCACTTCCCAGAAAGAAACACCTTGCCAATTAGCAGTCATTTCTCTTCTCCCCTCACCAGCCATTAATCTTACTGGGTTTTTGTATTTACTTATCCTGAATGTTTCATATAAATGGAATCATACAGTGGGTGGACTTTTATTGCTAGCTTCTTTCTCTTAGCATGTTTCAGGGTTCATCCATCCATGTTGTAGGATGTACTCATTCCTTTTTATTGACAAATCCGTTGTGTGGACATCTACAATTTATTTATCTATTCATCAGTTGGTGGGCATTTGGATTGTTTCCAGTTTTTTGCCTATTATGAATAATGCTGTGATTTTGTACGGGTTTTTTTTTTTTTTTTTTTTTTGTGGTACGCGGGCCTCTCACTGCTGTGGCCTCTCCCGTTGTGAAGCACAGGCTCCGGACGCGCAGGCCCAGTGGCCATGGCTCACGGGCCCAGCCGCTCCGCGGCATGTGGGAATCTTCCCGGACTGGGGCACGACCCTGTTTCCCCTGCATCGGCAGGCGGACTCTCAACCACTGCGCCACCAGGGAAGCCCCTTGTACGGGTTTTTATGACACTTTCTGCCTTAGTCTTTTTTTTTTTTAATAAGTTTATTTATTTTTGTCTGCATTGGGTCTTCGTTGCTGCTCATGGGCTTTCTCTAGTTGCGGTGAGCGGGGTCTGCTCTTTGTGGTGCACGGGCTTCTCAATGCAGTGGCTTCTCTTGTTGCGGAGCACAGGCCTTAGGTGCGCAGGCTTCAGTAGTTTTGGCTCGTGGGCTCTAAAGCGCAGGCTCAGTAGTTGTGGCGCACGGGCTTAGCTGCCCTGCGGCATGTGGGATCTTCCCGGACCAGGGATCGAACCCATGTTCCCTGCATTGGCAGGCGGATTCTTAACCACTGTGCCACCAGGGAAGCCCTCCTAGTCTGTAGTTGCTAACACATTCAGAAGACTTGATAACCCTGTAAAATAAGTGGGACTTAGTCTGGCAAGATCTAAAATTAAGAAACTTAATTTTTGACAACTCCTTATCTGAATGTTAAGAGCTGTGTGAATTCTCCTTCCTAAATAAGAGATACTAGTTTAAGAAAGATGGAGAAGTAGGGCTGCATTGTACAACAAATAAGCTTTATTGATTAAAGTACTTTAAGGTGTCTTCTGTTTTGTTTGAGGAAAACAGCACTTCCATAGATTTTATCACTCCAGTGTCTGTCAGTTGGTGCTTTTATTACTAATACAATGGAGTTATAACAGGAAAACATTCTGAGAAAAATCAAGGAAGCAGTTTTTACTTGCTACAGCCTGATAGTCCTGAAGACTTGGTTTAATGGGGTCACTTTTCTGCTGATGTGCTTTATATAGGCCTAACGTTTCCTTTTGTGTACTTATTTATTGATATGAAATTACCACTTAGAGCAGTGGCGCTCAATCATGGGCAGTTTTGTCTCACCCATCCCAGAGGACGTTTGGCAATGTCTGGAGACATTTTTGTCACGGTGGGGTGGGGGGCTTGCTACTGACATCTAAGTCGAGACTGGAGATGCTGTTAAATATCATACAATGGACGGGACACCCCATTGCCCCCCAACACAGAATTACCCAACCTCAAATGTCACTGATGCAGAAATTGAGAAACAAAGAGTTAAGCTGATCAGTTGTAGTATTTATAAGTCATAACAAAACTTGTTTTTTTAATTAAGACTAATTGTAAGATCTTTTCTTTAACCTAGATGAGTATATAAAGACCTTCACAAGAACCTAGTACTTAGTGAATAAATTACAATTGTAATGAGACAAGCAGGCAGTTGGAGGATTTAATAAAATTTCTGGGACATATATTTTTTTCCCTCTTAGTCCATGTGGATTTGGTCTTAAGTAATTGGAATGTGTTTTGTTTATCAGGTGGTTGGTTTAACTTTAACCAATTCACATAAGATTAAAAGAAAACTAAGAGTTGGACCAGTTCAATCATTGTATCAAGGAACTGATACCCCTAGAGCATTAAATGATGCTTTACTAATAAAGAAGAGAACATTGTTGAAATCCTAAACATGGAATGGACCTAGATATTGAAGGAGCAAAGCACAAGGAGGATTTAGATAACATTGTTTCTCGGTTACTGAAATAAAATAGAGTGGAGCAAACATTTAGGTTTATTCATTTTACTTTTTAAAGGCTTGTTCCTTTAAATCTGCTGCTTATATTGTGATTGAGTCAATGGTGCTGCTAGATTTAAAGAAACGGAAGTTAGGGATCTTGTGAAAGAATTTTAGCCTGTCTTTAATTGAAGACTGTCCATCATCCCACAGTGATTCTCAGCCAGAAGTTTTTGGAGGGGCCAGTCACAGAATCAGGGGAGAGGGAGATGTATGATTTGAAAAGACATTCTAAAACAGTGCTTTAATATTTTTCTTTGTCATGATACTTATTGTTTTGAAATTTCAAATAACATTAAAGGAGAGTGTGAGACTTGTTTGTCAGGAGTCAAGGGGTAAAAGTTGAGAAACTCTGATTTAGAAAATTGATGTAAGCCAGAATCAGACCAAAGGGCAGGTTAATTCCAGACTGTGCTGTTTTGGTATTAGATTCATATATAAAACAAAGGGAAAAGGAATCCCTCAATCAAACTCTTACTATTCTTATGTTGGACTTGACCTCATTGTATGACTGACCACCAATTCTATTTTTATTTTCTCAGTGACCAGACAGATCATGATACTACGTTAAGCCCCATGAAGGTAAAGATCTGTAGCTAGCATCATACTAGTCACAGACACTTAATTTTAAATTGGACAACTAAAATAAGCCTATACATTATAAGCGTTCTACCACAGAGGTATGCTTTATGTCTTATTCAAATTAAAATTTCCCCTAGGCCTTTGCATATGAGCTAGGAGCAATATCAGTGCTATAGGACTTAAACTTTGCATAGCTGCTTTCTTTCAAAGCATATGATAGATCCAAAATATAACCTGGTGATCATAAATTATAGTTTTGGAGCAGGGTTAGTGTTAAGTCACTTGAGAGAGACATGGGAACTTCACGTTCAAGACCATCTTTTCTCTGTATAATTACAGCCAGGTTCGTCTGGTTTGCACATTGAGACCATAATCTCAGTGTGCAAAATGAGGTCAAGTCCAACATAATAATAATAAGAGTTTGATTGAGGAATCCCTTTTCCCTTTGTTTTATATATGAATTTAATTCATACTGTGTCCAGAATGTTCATAACATTGGTAGCAAGCAGGTCTTTAATGGTATTTTAAAGGAAAGACAGGTACCAGGTGAGAGAACAATCTTCATTCAGTTAAGCAAATGGTGCATCGAGTTACAGATTCTTCATCCTCTTGGGGCCAGTTCTGGAACTTCAGTTAGTCCTTTTCAACTCTTCTGCATTAGCTGCTGATGGGTGCCATCTCAGAAGTTGTGAGGACTGGAGAGTTAAAGAACCAAGGTCAGGCCACTAAATGGAGCCATTTAGAGATTCCTAAAGATTTCATAACCATGGGAAACATTTGAATTGTTGGTTCTTAGGGATTTCCCATGTTTTCCCTTTAGTATAATATCTCATCTTCATATGTGGTATTAAGGTGGGGAAGGAGATCTTTTTTTTTTTTTTTTCCCTAGAGGGCAGAGAAATCGAGCTGTGTATATGAGTCTTACAATTTGAACACTTTCAAATGACAGTGAGTACATTTGCCCTGCTTGTGATAACCTGCCATAGAACTAGTAACAAGCTTCTTAGGGGCTGGGGCTCCCATGGGAAGAGCCCTAGACTTGGTATCCAAAACCTTAGGTTTAATTCTAGCTCTGCCGTCTAATATCGCTGTAACTTTAGGATGGTCATTTAACCGCTCTGAGACTTGGTTTCCTTCTCTGTAAATTGATAGTAATGATTCCTTCCTCATGTGGTTATTTTACGAGTATCAAACAATTTTCCAAAGTGTCATAACAGAATATATTATTAGGGATAGGGATTTTGTTTTATTTCTTTGTGCCCCAGGAGCAGTAAATGTAGTAACCTGCAAAAATCTCAAATGCTACACAAGTGAATATAGTAGGAAATAAAAGGTTGCTGCCCCCACCTCAGTTTTACTCCCAGAGTAAGTTTGAAAACCCTTCTAGACCCCTTTGTATCCGTATGCATAACGTATATTTAAACAACAGGGACTTACATAGGGGCTTCCCTGGTGGCGCAGTGGTTAAGAATCCACCTGCCAATGCAGGGGACACAGGTTCGAGCCCTGGTCCAGGAACATCCCACATGCCACAGAGCAACTAAGCCCATGCACCACAACTACTGAGCCTGTGCTCTAGAACCTGTGCGCCCCAACTCCTGAACCCTCATGCCACAACTACTGAAGCCTGCACACCTAGGGCCTGTGCTCCACAGCAAGCGAAGCCACTACAATGAGACGCCCGCGCACTGCAACAAAGAGTAGCCCCTGCTCCCCGCAACTAGAGAAAGCCCGCGCGCAGCAACAAAGACCCAACGCAGCCAAAAATAAATAAATAAATATTTAAAAGAAAGGGGGACTTACATAATACGTATTCTGTAACTTTTTATTTTTCACATCTTGGACTTTCTGTGCCAGTACATTGTGCTTTCTCCTTTATATCTGCATGGAATTCTTTCACAGAAATGTACCACAATCTGAACCTTTGATGGGCCTTTATTGTTGCTTTCTTTATAAATACATTTAACAATAGTGCATTGTACAACTCTATAAATACCCAAGTATTGATGAATAATCTTTCTCTGGCCCTTTTAAAATAGCAAAAAAGAAGAATAAGAAGGGGAAGACTATCTCCCTAACAGACTTCCTGGCTGAGGATGGAGGGACTGGTGGAGGAAGCACCTATGTCCCCAAACCAGTCAGCTGGGCCGATGAAACAGATGACCTAGAAGGAGATGGTAACTTTTCTTTTGTTTTCCGTCATGTTTGGAATTTTCATTACCTTGTAGACAAAATCTGTTCCACAATAATGGTTCTCACGTGTAATTGGGAAGGAATTTAACTAATTTTGTGGAACCTGCAATCTTATGTTTATGTATTTTGTGGAATCTTAGGTTTAGGCTCTAGGAGTTTGTGATGGGGGCTAAAGTGGTGATTCAAGAGAGCTTAGTGCTAATTCTGGCTATTGTAGTAACAGGGTTTTCTCAGGGTACTATCCTTTTAAGCCTTATTTTCTTCATTTGTAAAGTAAGGACTAGATTATTTCATTTTAGTTCTGAAATTCTATGATGTCTTCATAAAGTAATATGCAGTATAACCTATACGGTCTTTATACTCAAGAGTCAAGGAATAATTTGTTTTAAGAGCTTTTAGTATGAAGTCAGGGCGTCCCTGGGTAAACAGAACTGGTCTGAGGGAAAGGAATAGGAATAGGAATTATGGTGGGAAAATGCAGAAGAGTCATTGGGGTATCATTTGAATAAGTTCTGTGCCTTCAAGGAATAGCCAGGAACAGGCAGGAGCTATAAAATCGTTGGGTATGACATAAGTCCGATCACCCATCATTTTTCTCTAAAAGCTTTAATTGCAAACGGAAGAATACTTTTTCTTTTGTGACCTCTTTTTGTAACAAGAAATTTCATCTAGATCATGTCTTCCATAAATGTTGATACCTGAAGTACAAATTCATGGGCAGTGCTGTAGGGACAGTATCTCCTAGCTCCACTAAGATTACCATCCTACTGCACTACCATCTGTGTGACCTTGGGCAAGTTACAAAACCTTCCTGAAATCTTAGTTTCCTTTTCTGTAAAATGGGAAACAAACTCACATGATTATTATAAAGGTAAGTTGGGATATAATGAATATGAAGTACCTGGCACATGGTAACATTCCATAAATAGTGATTGATATTCTCTCATTTCTCTGCTGCATAAGGAGTGTTATGATTCTGTTAACAAAAGCCTGGGCCTTGAAAGGCCTTGAAATACTTAGAAACAGAGACAGTAAATAGTACTGAGTCTTTGCATTGCTATCTGATCCTGACATTTCAGAAGCATTTTGTCTGTAAAGGGTCCTTATTGCTGAACCCCCCCTACCCTTTTTATCTGTTTATTTCCTGATACAGCTTATTTAATACTTGGCGCTTAGCATATGTCCTCTTATTCTACAGTGGCAGTAAGGGAAGTTTCTTCTAATTTCTTACGTCTACTTTTCTATCCTAGTTTCAACCACTTGGCATAGTAATGATGATGACGTGTATAGGGCACCTCCAATTGACCGTTCCATCCTGCCCACTGCTCCACGGGCTGCTCGGGAACCCAATATCGACCGGAGCCGTCTTCCCAAATCACCACCCTACACTGCTTTTCTAGGGAACCTGCCCTATGATGTGACAGAAGACTCCATTAAGGAATTCTTTAGAGGATTAAATGTAAGTGTAAAGGTTTTAGGCAATTAACTAGATATGGAGGGTACTGTATGGGTAGTGACTGTCTCTGAATTTCTGTGTTGAGAAAGGATCTGAGGTTGTGTCTATACTTGGAAGAAACAGGTATGTAATTTAGTGGTGTTTAGGCCCTTTGGCTGAGAATGTTCTCATCCAAAACCAGTTGAACAGTCTTATTAGCAAATTTAATACCTTATTGATATAGAGAGAATCTCTCAAAACTGTATATCCCTTCTCTATGAAATTTAAAGGGGACATACCCAGTTAAACGTTTATGTCTGTTCACATATAATGGAATTCACAGGCTTGCTTAAAAAGCTTAAGGCAGGATGTTTGAAAACACCTAGAAGTTTCCAGAAAGACGAAAAAGTGAGTATGAGGTGCTAAGAATCCTTTTTCTAAACTGATGAAAAAATACTTACGATTTCAAAAATGGAAGAATGAGTAATAATTTCCAGTTCTATTCGGTTTTTCTCCAGAGTCTTTGCCGAAGAGAAGACATTAAAAACTAGGTTTCTTCTAAGAATCTGCTCCCTCTTTCACTTTTTTATTTTGACTGCGTTGGGTCTTCATTGCAGCATGCGGGCTTCTCTAGTTGTGGGCTCCAGAGTGCTTGGGCTGTCTAGTTGCGGCTCGCAGGCTTAGTTGCCCCGCGGTACATGGGATCTTAGTTTCCCGACCAGGAATCAAACCCACGTCCCCTGAATTGGAGGATGGATTCTTAACCACTGGACCACCAGGGAAGTCCCTCCCTCGTTCGCTTTTTTTTTTATTATTATGAATATAGCAGGTTCTTATTAGTTACCTGTTTTATACATATCAGTGTAAATATGTCAACCTTCCTTCGCTTTTGCTATGTTGGTTGACTTCTTTACTAGATCCTCTTCTCTGCAATGGGCCATCAACTTCTGTAGCTGGCTTTTCTTGTGTGATTAATTTTGGTCACAACTTACAAATTTTACTCTCTGTTTAATTATGTAGTACATCTAGAAGCATGGCCTGTTTTCATTCCTCTCTAGTAGCCTCTTTCTTCTGTAGAGTGTTGAATAATCTCTGGCCTGTTCAGGCTTTTCACCTTTATGCTCTAGAATTGGTCTGTAGCTACTTCCTTTTATTTTATTCCCTTTTTATTTTGTTCCTTTTCCTGCTCTCCTCATAAGTTGAGTTAAACTAGAATTTAAAAGCGACTGTGACAAAATCTATATCTCAGGAGCCCAGAATAAAGTATCAAATCAGTGATGTAAAAGATAGCTTGAATATATGCAAAATATTGGAGAAATGAAGAAATAAGTAAAAAGAGTAAGAAAACAGACATTAAAAAGTGAAAAGTACAATTCAGTGGTTTACCATCTCAGAATTCGGCAGAAGGGGTAAGTATGGTGAGGGTTTACAATCCAGTGTTTGATTCAGCCAAGCTATTAATATATGAAGACAATAAGTAATGTTTCTCAGATAAGTCAGCTTGCCAAAAAATATACTGCCCAGAAAATTTTTTGGCAAAAACTGAGTCAAATTTCTGAGAGACAAAAATTGGAAATAAACTAATTGTGGAACACAGGCAAGTTCCTCTTAATTGAAAAACAACTAAAAACTAGAAATGTAGAGTGAAGCAGAAGTCAGGGGTACAAGGAATACACTGAACTCCTTAGTTTTTTAAAGGTTAAATTCATATTGTTCAAATTGAATACGATGTATACGTATATGATGTATACGTATATACAGGTATACGGGTATACGATGAAGTCTCTCTTGTATCCCTCTGTACCGGTTTTCCTCCTGGAGAGAGCCAGGTTCTTGGGTATTCTTCAGGGAAATCCATTGCATACACAATGGTAAAAAAAAAAAAAAAAAAAAGGAAGAAGACAAATGAACAAGAGCATTGAATTAGGAAATATTTTTTGTTTCTTTCCTCCTTAGATCAGTGCAGTGCGTTTACCACGTGAACCCAGCAATCCTGAGAGGTTGAAAGGTTTTGGTTATGCTGAGTTTGAGGACCTGGATTCCTTGTTCACTGCCCTGAGCCTCAATGAAGAGGTAAATAAACTAACGGTGGGGGGTGAGGGCTGGGAGCTAACATCTCTTGTGTTTATCAAACTGATAGTTTTTAGGCCAGGTCAGTAGCTATTTCGAAGATTCCCATAGTACCTACAAAGAAAAGCCTGGATTATTTATCAATATACCGGTTAATATTCAACATCTAGCACGTCACACCTCCCTTCTGCAAGTTCAGCAGAGCCT